ATCCTTTAATCAAGTTAAATACCTTGATTACATCAGATTTTAATCCTTTACACTTAAGCAACACAACTCTAATTTAACCTTATAAATCCTGCTTTAACTGCAAAATTTGCAAAGTCAACATATCCTTTCCCAGGTACAATGCCCAAACTGAACAGAATATTTCAGAGTCCAATCCTGTTCCAATCAGACAGTCACATGTCAACTTTCCAGCAGAGATCACTGATTAGTGCTCAAGAGCAGAAATCCTGACTGAGTTCTTCCTCCTTAACTCAAGGGTCCCAAAGTTATTGAGAACATTCCATCATATAATGGCCTAACAATGAAGGCAATCATATAGGCTCAACTTATATTTTTCTGAACTTGGATGTTTTTCATATTAAAAGCTTCTCTTTTTCTGAAACAAACTATCTGCTCTTGTCAAATGCAAAAAGCAGTATTTAATAAACACAGCTGTAAATTGAACGACATGGTAACATCTTCAGACTCTGAATTAACAACAAAACCTGACTTTCCAACGGTGTGACTAAGAAATTAGTTTTTATGGTGAGTGTTTAATTTTTAATAACTCATGGTTACAGTCAGGGAATTTTCACCAAATCAATTAGTCACCGATACTGAATATAAAAGAAAATATTTTTTGATGGGGCCATATAATTATTATTTTCAGCAATTAAGTTTTAACAATTATTTCAAGTATGAACATTCCTTTTGACTGAAATTTAAGATATCCTTGATCTCCATTACAAGGATTCCTTCTTCTATAAGAATTCAATACTACTGTAACTACAATTACCATTAAAAAGTGAATGAGGTGGGATGCAGTGCTGAACCTTTCGTTTGACCTTTTTTGGTCTTTGACTTCTGGCCACGAAAACATAAGCTTGATGCCACTGAAACAGGATACTGTCAAATAAGCTTTATTTGAACAATTAAACCTATTACATGAAGCATTACTTTCATCTGATCATAGGTGCCATGGTCTAAGTTTAACAGCGGCCAAGATATCAAGTGAATACACAGATAATTAAGGGCTTAGCAGACTATCTCCTGCATCCTTTCTTGCTCAATTGCATTTAATAATGGATACTTGTATGTTTCAGTGTCAGTCACACGAAAGCAACATTCTACAAGCCCCTCAAGTCCAACTGCCCCTTGTTTACACTCCCATCTGACAATGAAATACATCAAGTATTAAGCAGAAAAGGCAACTGCCAAAAACTCACAGGAAGCGGATGCCCTGTGGTAATCTTGAAAAGGCAAAGTTAGTATGATTACATTGTTAACTGCAGAAGGGGGGAATCATGCTCTTGCTTCAGCTGGAGACTGTAAAATGTGATAGAACCGAAACATGGATTTTCAAATGTTACCGTTTTTCTAGAACATCTTTCTTTGGCCAGTAGTGGACTCTCTATTTACACATCAATCCCAGTTTATATTTTGAAACAAAAGCTCCAGCATTACACAGCAATGATCATATTGCTGGATTCATCTGGTGAAAAATGTATCTTTAATTTTAAAACTAGCTTCTCTTATCATGACTACTTTAATAACCTGCAGCAGCCACTTTGTAAAATGGTGCCTCTGAATCCAAGGCATTGTTGCAGAGCTTAGTTCTCTTCCATCATGGTGCAATTAAGCACCCAGACGGGAAACAGCTCACTATATTTCCCTCCTAAATAACTAACTTTAATCATGTTTGTTTCAAGATCTTCTGCAATATTATTTAAGAAAAATAGTATTCTTTCAAAAACAAAAGATATTTCAGAGGAAGCAGAAAGCATCAGCTTTACTAAGGAATGATAGTGACTATTTGGGAGATCATTTTATGCACCTTCTGACTTAAATTCACCATGAATGCTAATCCATGGCCAGCCATCTGTCTTCCCTTTAAGTACAAGTTTGAGGAACATCATCTGATCTTTCTATTCAATACTTGTCAATCATCTGGCTTCAGTAGGGACTTTGATACTTCCAGGTCCTAGCTATAGCCTGTATATTCATTTTGGCAGGGTGTTGTGAGACGTATACATGAGGCTTGGAATGGTTATGGGGGACAAGGGGTGTGGGGAGTGGGGAGTGGGGAATGAAGGTGGTTTAAGGTAGAAAAGGAATATTTGACGTTATGTCAAACACCATGCTACAAGGTGAGCATGGTGTCATCAACCTGTTTTTCTCTGTCAAGTCTCCTGACTGTTGGTATCTGTTCTACTGGTATTCCATGCTTGTGTCGCTTCGTTTCTTACCTACCATCCTCTGTATTATTCACACACGCATACTTCCTTTAATTTATTTTAATTTGCTTCCAAATGACTCATTAGGATCAGTTCAGAGAAGGTTTAGTCACTAGGTTGATTCCTCGGATGGAGGCGTTGTCTTGTGAGGAAAAATTGAGGTGGTTAGTTCCGTATCCATCGAGTTTAGATGAAAGGTGATCTCATCGAAACGTAAGATTTCAAGGTTTGAGGGGCTTGGCCAGGTGGATACTGACAGGATTTTTCCTCTTATGGAGTAATCTAAAATTAAGAGGCAGAGTTCAAAAATTAGAGGTCTTCCATTTAAAACTGAGACAAGGAGGAATTTCTTCACTCAGAGGGTCATGAATCTTTGGAATTCTCTTCCACAGACAGCAGTAGAAACTGGATCAATGAATATATTCAAAGCCAAGTTAGACAGATTTTTGATTCACAAAAAATTCTGGGTTATGGGCAATATACAGAAAAGTGGAGTTAAGGTCACAATCAGATCAGCCCATGATTTATTGACTGACAGGGCAGGCGAGTAAGGTGCAAGAGAGGGTAGCAGGAAGTGCTAAGTGCTTACCACTGGTTGAGGGGCAGAGTGCAGGTGTCAGGTCTGGGTATGCATGAGTCAAATCTCAATAAATTCAAGGATCTTTATTCTCGTGCACAAATATGAAATAGCATTTCATTAATGCTACTCCATTCACACTGATTTTGTGCATCAACAACTTGGATTTTCTTTCATGAAGGCAATAAAGTTAGTCTGGACAACAATCTAATCTACAGTGAGTGGATGCTCTTTCATCTTAAAGCATTCCCTGAACTCCGCAGTGTTTAATTATTAAATCCTAAGCAGCGCAGTGGAATCATTCTGCTTTTGATGGGTCTAAATTCAGGCATACTGACAGGAAATGTTTAATCCTTGCTTAGTTTAAATAAGGCATGACAAGTGCTGCATGCTAATTTTTTTCCAATACTATGCTCTTTGAATCATGCAACAAAGTTTGCATCTTTACTTTCTTGACTAATCAACTTCCACTTTACAAAATATCCACAAAAATACAGAAATCAAAAGTCACTGATTAGTTATTCAAACTAACAAAATAATTTGAATTACATATACAGTTTACTATTCCATGTCAGATCAATCAACATAGATCACAGGGCACCTTAATCGACTTATGAAAGGGAAGAAAACACTTAACACAGCGAGTGATGGCAGTGATTTCACTTCAGGCTCATCATATCTGTCATTACTGTCAGCACCCAAGTTCCAAATGTGCTCTTTACACAAAAAATTATTAAATTAGTCAGCAATGATTCATTGATATCATTGATATCATTCTCTATCCAATGTTGAATTTCCCAATGTTTCTCCCTCCAATTCATAATTTGTGGATTCTCCTTCATTCATTATATTTTCCAACTTTAAGAAATCATTCATTTCAAAATTATGGAACTTTAAAAGATAATGCTTTCTTTTATTTTACCAAGGCTTCTTTATATTGCAATGTTGTGAGGGAACCCATATTGCAAATTTGGAAGCTACTATTATGTGAGGATTAGGAAAAGGGAGATGGCCACAGCATTCTCCCCGCTTCCCCACCCCAAGTCAGATCCCAGATTAATATATGGCTCCATCGATCATTTATTTTTGACTTTGACAAGGTGGTCTTCCACTGAAACACAAACGTGCAATGCTGCAGATTTGGTTTTAACAATAAAACAAAAGTTCATTACACAAAAGAAATGAGGATAGAATAGAATAAACCAAACTATTTACAGATAACACAGCTTTAAAGATTTTGAAACATATACAACATATGTTGCAGTCTATTAATCTCAACAGCACCCTTTACGTTACTCAGAGGGACTTCTCTCCTCTATCACATATAGGGTTTGACTTAACAGATACGTAAATCCCCAGTCCTGAGAATCTGATAGCTTCTTCCTTGAGCCTTCATATAAGTGAGCATGGCCTTTCTCAGTTTCAAATAACCCCTTCACAGTTTGAAGCAAACACTGCTGTTCTGGAACTTCAAAACTAATCTCATTATATGAAGGAGACATATTTCTTAACTATTCTAATCTATTTCTCAGCTTTAAATGCAACTGTTTCACATGTCTAGCTTCCACCAAGACAACTGTAAAACTGCCATCAAAAAGGATTTCTTTAAGCTACGGGTGTTTCCCCAAGCTGAAAAGAATTCTACTCTGGAATGTTCTAACCGAAGCTTAAGCATTACATTGTTCACTTAGTTCGCTTGTAAAAATTCTCCCAAAAAAAACTATCACTCTCCAAGAAGTCTCTCTCGTGCCGAATTTAAAATAAATCATCATGGCTATAGAAGTACTTACAAGTTAATCATTAGACCCCTTCATACACACAGAGACAAAAACCCATATGCTACTACTGCAAAATCCAAACTCAAAAATAAATTACATTAAAATATATATAAATCATACACTTTACGTCCCATGTGTTGACATGTGTTTAAATTGTGCGCCCACACCCACAACTCCTAATATCCACAATTTCTAAGAACACCACTCTATTTTGAAGCTTTCTACGCTTCTGTGACAGTGCTAATGAATGTTATAGTGTTAATGGAATCACACAGGAAGCTTTAGAACCATAACTATATTGCTGCAGCGTTATCGTATTAACTTTATCATTGAATAATGGCAAATGTTTCCATATTAAATGTACTGTTAATGAAACATTAAGAAAAAAATAATTAAGTTGGCAAAGTTACTTACAGTGGTCTTAGTCTGAGCGGAATATTCTGTCTCCATTTTACTAAGGCGTGAGTTGGTATTATTAAGGATTTCCTGAATATTCTCTGTGTGTTTCTTCTGTAGTTCAAACTTCTCTTGCTCTAGTTCTGCTACAATATTGTGTAACTGCAATATATATATATAGAAATATATCAATAGAGAACCTGGAAATAGTTATTAACTGAATCTGTCCTTCAAGCCTCTTCCGCCATTCAATGTGATCATGGCTGATCTGCAGCCTGAGTCCATATATCTAGCTTCTCACATATAAAATGAAAGACTTGTGCCAAGCACTGTACAGGATGAAATTGGTTTCTGCCTTATTCCTGTGTGATGCGTGGAAATTTTTCCAAGATGTTTAGGCTCATAGGAGAAGACGTTGCAAGATCTTTGCTTGAATGTGCTTAGGGCATCTAGCGAAAGCAAACACCACATGGACAAATCAGAAAGTGCACATATACAGGAACCCATCTAATTTTCTTAATTTTTATGTAAAGGAAACCTATATGTTGTCTTACAACTAGCCCCATTTCACCAGAAAGTACAGCATTTGACCATCTGGGAGATTGTAATCTTGTGCAATTTCATAACGTGCATTTCACATAATGCAGAATGATCATGCAGTAAAGATAATGCTCAAATAGTCTGATTTGGGTCAGAATGCTAATTTCCAGCTGAAATCAATCAAATAGGTGTCTACTGCCCTTTGTAGGCATTTTCTGGCAAGACTTCCCAGCTAGAAGGCTTCATAAAAAAAAATGGTCTAGCAAACCATTCAGGCAGCAGCATACTGGGTCATCATTGAAACCATACACCATTATTTGTAAAGCCGTATCCATTTCTCCAACAAGAGAGAATCTAACCTTCATCTCTTGTTATTCAAAGGCATTATCGTCACTGAATACCTCACTATCAACAACCTGGGAGATTATCAGTGGACCAAAAACTGAACTGGACTTGCTATATAAATATAGTCACTACAACATCAGATTCATGTCCTAAGTGCCCAAAGGCACAAATTAGGAGTGTGATGGAATACTCCACACTTGCCTGGATGACTGTATCTCTAACAGCACTCAAGAAGACTGACACTATCTGGAACAAAGCAGCCTATTCAATTGGCACCACATTCACAAGCATTCACTCCCTCCACCACTGTTGCTCATTAGCAGCAGTGAGTACTTTCTATAAGGTGCACTGCAGAAATTCACCAAGGCTCCTTAGACAGTATCTTCCAAACCCATGTCCACTACCATATAGAAGGATAAGGGCTGCATATACATGGGAACACCACCACTTCAAGTTCCCCTGCAAGTGACTCACCACATTGACTTGAAAATATATTGTTGTTCCTTCAGTTTCACTGGATCAAAATCTTGGAACACTCTCTTCTAGCGGTGTTGCATATCCATGTATAGCACTCAGACTGCAACGGTTCAACGCAGCAGCTCGGCACCACCTTTTCAAGGGTAACTGGGGCTGATCCTGCCAACAATGGCTACATCCATAATGGATTTAAAAAAGCCATGTTTAAAGGTCCCAGTATCACTTTTGACAGCTACTGAGAGAGGTTACAAGTTGAATGAGGGAGTAGAGTGCCACGTGAATTGGGGGTAGGGTGTGAGGTGAGTAAGGGAATAATTAGCCAAGTGAGTGGCTACAGGTTGCGGGGGCAGGTCAATTGAGAAGTATAGTTGGTGGGTAGAAAATTGAGGGACTGGGTTGGCTCGGGTGTCAGGGTAAATCGGCAGTGGGGGTGGGGGAGGAAATCAGTATTTGGATGGATACAGTCATTTTGGGGTGCATTTATAGCTAGCCAAGAATGAGAGAATGTTTTATCCTTCAATTATTTTTGGTAATTTATTAAGTGTGTCAGAATGCTCTGAAGAATCCAATTCGCATGCAAAGTTGAAGATTTTTCAGAGCTCCAGATTACTGCGTAGTCAGTTGTCTTGGTGGAGAGGAGGAATGTTGTCTTTCCTCAGGATTGGCAGATGAGACCACGGCACCAGACACCATCAGCCTGGTCAAAAGTTCCCATCCAGGTCAGTATCATTTTCCTGACTTCCGAGCAAATTTCAGGAAACAAAGGATCTTCAGCTATCTAAAGACCAGAAGATTAAGGTCTAATTTCAGTAGTAGACAGTAAGGTGACTGAGTGGGACACATGTTTGCTTACAGAAGAGACCAGTGACAAATTAATATGAACAAATGAATGGAAGTTTATATTGGGAACTGCAGATAGAGCAAGAAGAAAAAGAAAGCAACAAGCTCATGCATTTACTTAGCACCTTATTACATTTTTGGGATGTCTCCATGATATGGATTACTCTGAAGTATAGTCACTGTTGTTATGTACGCAAAGGAATTAAGCAGCCTATGCACAAAGTCCCATAAGGGAGCATCACACACACATCCCATGAACAAATAAATTTAGAAAATAAAGTGAGTGAACGAACACCATATAATCTAATTTGCTCAAACCACTCCATCGCTCCAATTTTTGATATCCACATTACCAGTAAAATCTTTCTTTTCTCTCATTCATGTCCTTCCACTGACATGGCCCCTGACTTTCCTCCTTCAAGTTCAAGGGTCCCTTGTTTGTTGCATGCAACTCTTCTCCCAGCAAAACTAATCGCTACTTCAGGAGCACCCTGAAGAACAAAGATATCTCCTAGATGTCTTTTCTTCTAAAGCCAATCTCTCCTATTCTACAACTGTAAGAAGCTTGCTGATTTCGGACAGCTGGATTGAGGTCAAGCCTTGAACCGACAACTTTCAATACCTTCTTTCATAACTTATTTCACACACTCTCCATGACAGCCACCTCCCCCTCCACTAATCCTGTTCCAAGTAAACTGCTGGATACCCAACTGCACTTCTTTGTTCCCATGGTAGCTGACATTGCAAACTGTTTCCTTTTCTTAAGTCCCATATCCCTTTGTCTTTTTTTTAAAACAATCCACTGCTTATAAGTTCCCTGCATCCTTGCAAATATCTATGTCCTCTCCATCCTTTCTAAACCAGTTAAACATGCTGGCACCTAACAAACTGTGCATATTTCCCATAATATCTTTCTTAATTTCTCTAATCAGGTTTCTGTTCTTGCTACGGAGCTTGAATGGTCTTAACTAAAGACATAAATGGCACTCTTAGTAACTGCAACCACAGCAAATCATCCCCATCTTCTTTGCTGCCTTCAGCATGGTTGACATACATAGGGTAATTAGACAAAGGTCTTCTCCCTGGGGTGGCGGAGTCCAAAACTAGAGGGCGTAGTTTTAAGATGAAAGGGGAAAGATTTACAAGGGACCAAAGGGACAATTTTTTCACACAGAGGGTGATGCTTGTATGGAATGAGCTGCCAGAGGAAGCGGTGAAGGCTAGTACGATTATAATATTTAAAATGCATCTCGATGGGTACATGAATATGAGGGTTTTAGAGGGATATGGGCCAAATGCTGGCAAATGGGGCTAGATTCATTTAAGAAATCTGATCGGTATGGACGAGTTGGACCGAAGGGTCTGTTTCTGTGCTGTACATCTCCGTGACACATAATCCTTCTCCAACATCTCTTCACTTTCTTCCAATTCATTAGGACCACATTTACTTTGTTCCACATACCTAAGTGATTCTGGCTATCTGTAGCTAAAATATGCAGACAAAACAAAATTAAGTTGGCAAATGGAGTATAATGTCGGCAAATGCGCAATTGTTCATTTTAGAAAGGATAACAAAAGAACAGAGTATTAACTAAATGGAGAAAAGCTGCAGAAAACTGCAACACAAAGGGACTTGAGGGTATTTGTACATGAGGCACAGAAACCTAGCACCAGATACAGCAGGTAATCAGGAAGGCTAATGAAATGTTGGCCCTTATTTCAAGGAGATTGGAGTATAAGAGTAGGAAAGTCTTACTGCAACCACACAAGGTCAACTGTACATTGTCTTATAAGCAAAAGTTAAACAGGTTGGGACTCCACTCATTGCAATTTAGATGAATGAGAAGTGATCTCATTGAAAATTATGGGATTCTTATGGGAATTGACAGGGTAAATATTGTCAGGATGTTTCACATTAGGGGAGTGTAGGACCAGCAGGCGGAGTCTCAAAATAAAGGGTGTTATTTAAGACTGAGATGGAGGGATTTCTTCTCTCAGAGGGTTGAGTGTCTTTGGAACTCCTTGCCACAGAGGGCTGTGGGGGCAGAGTCCTTGTGTGCATTTAAGGTTGAGATAAGATAGATTCTTCATCAGTAGAGGAAGCAAGGGTTATGAGGAAAGGGCAGGAAAGTGGGCATGAACAGTGTTGAATCAGCCGTGATCCTATTGAATGATGGAACAGGCTCAAGGGGCCAAATGGCCTACTTCTGTTCCTATTCCTATTTCTTATGGTCTTATTACCTACAATGGCTTTTCTTTCTATCTTTGTATAACTGCTACAAAGATTTCACAAAGATCTATCTTTCACACTCCACCCCTCCTCTTTCTCATCCACATATATATATGTTAATGTTCCCATTCTTTTTTTCCACCAACTGTTTTGACCACTCCTCTATGACTGTTGTCAGCCCACTTTCCACTAATTATTTGACAAGCCACAATTCAAAGCGACCATCCAAATACTGGTCACCAATTCCATCCACCTTTTTGGCTAGTTTCAGGTTAAATCAGATGGTTTGCCACTTTGGCATCACTTTTCAATTGTCTACACATCAGTTTATTCAAACTCTACTATTCCAACTTCCAATAAGTGCCCTTCACCCATCACTTGATCACCTTCACTGACTCCCAATTTTTCAAATCCTCTAACTTAAAATTTCCATCCACATTTCTGTCAAATTTCAGAGGGAAGAAATACCTGCAGAAGTTGTGGATTTGAACGGAGAAACCCACTTGCATTTTTCCCTTTGTATAAATATATCAAGCTAGAATTCACGGGTTATTTTACAGACATCACAAAACTGAGCACGTTTGGAAATTATCACAGCCTACATCAAGTGACACAGTCTCCCCCAATCACAGATCCAGAAACTTTACCCATAGATCTGAGGTAAAAATAATTTTTAAAAACACAGAGGTAACTGATTAGAATAGTACGGGGAAATCAACTCAAATCTTCAAATGTTTTAAACCCCTTACCTTTCTTTCCCAATCATTTTTTAAGGAATCAGCACTCTGCTCAGCCATCTTCTTCAACTCAATAATCTGCTTCTCTTTACTTTCTCGAATAATCTGTGATTCACGAACCAAACTCTGAACTGCAAAACATAGGAGTAAAGGATCGAATATATTAGTTAAAGCAATGCTGAAAGCAATGTACCCCAGAATTGACCTTTTAGATGCTGTATGAGTGCCTCTGGTCCCATTTTCTACTTGTGTTAATTTACCGGTATTACCAGTGAAACCCCCTCACTGAAAACTTACGGAAGCAACAGTTAATTAGTAATAGTTACTGTATCTATTATTCTGATAAGTTTTCCAATAAAGTTATTACTCTAAATTCCTATTTCTTTGAGTGTATTTTAACCAAAGTGTTTAAATAAATTGTGTTTTGTTTAACTTGGAGTAGTTTGACCAGTCTCATGACATCTGGAACAGGCACTTCACATTTACTTTTAAAAATAAGAAGAAAAGTTAGGGTCTAGGTTACCTTCTTAAAATATTTTGAGGGGGTCTGGTCTGGTCCGGTCTATAAGACTCTTCTTACCACATGGTGGAATACATTCTGGGCAGAAATTTACAGCAGCATTTTAACATGCATTCAATTTTTGTCAAATACCTGTGATGATATTTATTTCGATGCTGTGTTGTCTTTTAAGTAAAATTACCTTTTATTTTAAATTTGAATTTTAGGATTCAGCATCAACAATTGCTGTACCAAATGAGCACCACTCCTCATGTCCTAAGTAACCAAGTGCATTTATAATGAGCCCAAAGATTGAACAGATAACAAACTAAGGACAAAAAGCAGGTAGGACAGGCCGATCAAACTCCAATTCAGAGTTCAGCCCAACATTAACTACCTTTGACTTGCAATGATAGCCAGTTCGGCCACGAGACAGTCAGTCATGAGGTAACGGAAGACTCAGCCTGGTGAGGTACATCTCCCACCAGATCACCCATATCTTTCTTCAGCTGCAGGTGCTGAGGCTTTAAAAAAAGGGAGATGAGAGGAACAACAAGACAAAAAAAGGTTGGGAGATCCACCTGCTGTAAAGTTTGCTTTCAATCAGTTTGACAGTAGCACATGCCAAGCACTATTCCAAATTCTCATTACACGGCCATTGTTATAGTGAAATCATGTAAGTAATAATAACCAGGTATTGTGTGTGTAATATTCAGGTGTTCATCAGATTAAGAGCATATTAGAAGTTTCAGAGTCAGGCAATAAACCCATTCAAGTTTGGAGCCAGATCATAATGTATACACTCCTGTGAAGCACCTTTGGGTATTTAATACGTTAAACTCACAACATAAATGCATATTCTTTTCATTGCTATATAAACCAAAAATAGTCAATGAAGGCCACAGACAACTAGTTAAATTTTGTTTTGGGATTTCTACCCTTACATCACAAGCACAATACTGAAGTTTATTTCATGCCAAATGTCACTGTAATGAAGTGCAAAGATTAAAACCAAGGTTTATTGTGGGGTTCCAAAAATATGTTTACATGAGAAGAAATTAAATTTTTATATGAATCAAAGTTTTCGAAGATATAACTACGATCTGGTAGTACTCCAGCAAAGATTCAACTTTGTTAATCTTGCAAAAAAATTTAGAAATTTAGCCTTTCACTGAGGATCCTATCACTCATCAACAGGTTGAAGTTTGTTGATTAGCATTCACCAGCCAAATTTTTTTAAAAATCACAACTACAACAATAACATAATGCAAGAGATTCAATTAACATTGTAACATGATACTTTCATCCAGCAACACATAAAACAGAAGCAGAAGAGGAAATAAAAGTCATTTCCTGCTGGTTATTATTAGTTTGACAATCAGGCTAACTGTTAATCTACAGAACTTCCAGCAATAGCTTTGTCGTAAATGATTTCAGATTGGGGTAGTTTAGACAACTCTCTCTCCCCAGCAGCTCCCTCAGCAACCCATACAAACACCTACAAGAGGAACTCAGTGGCTGTAAAAATTCTAGAGCAGGACAATACAGCTCTGCCTTGGCGAACAGTAATACTAAATTATATAATGGGTGCAAGAATGCGATTCAAAATTAAAAGTAAAAACAAAACGACAAAGAAACTGTTTAATACCACCTGAATGTACAGCTGACTACTTCCCCAGAAAAATCATAGGATTCACGTAGAAAAGGGGACTGAGGAGCCATTCCTTTATGGCCAGACAGCCTCCGTCAGAACTGTCAATCTGACATTTTAAAATATTAATTCTCAAGCTTTGACAGTCTGTTTGTAAGAAACATCCTTCCCTGCATTTTCACTCATGCATAAAAATTCCAACTCAGGGTTTAGAAATGCTGCAAAAAGAGCATAATATTATGGCAGCAGCAACTTTGACTTTGGATTACCTCTCTTTTCCAGCTTCTTATTCACCTCTTCTGCTTCCTTTTGCTTGTTTCTATACAGTGTCTTTAGCTCCTCAATCTCATTATTCTTCCGATCCAAAATCTGGAACAAGATTTTTAAAAATCTGAAAATTTAGTACAACACTGTTTTAAAAGTAGATTTCCACCTCCAATATATATCTAATAGATACAATTCAGTCTTTTAAAAAAATTAAATAATTTAGAAATGTAGCTTTAAAATATAAAAAATTCTTTGAAAATAGCACTGATAGAAGTGGTTTGGGCACTAGCACATTGATAGATGTGGTTTGGATATTAATTTTAGTAGCATTATAAATAGGGGGTCAATCCAGCCAAAGACGCAAATGTCACGATAAATAATAACCAGCTGCTCAAATCAACTTTATTCAACCATTGGTATTTTTTTTAAAAAGAGCAATATTGCATACGGCATGCAGAAAAACACATCACCAGATGCTACAAAGTTTGAGCAAAAATCATAATTGAAAAGTGATTGAGCCAGTTTATTATTTTGAAGTCATGACACCAAAGAGAGCATGTGCACAAATGACCTCGGGTTTGAATTCAAATCCTTCACTTCCAATGAAGGGGTTGGTCACAAGTACTCTCCAAACCTTAGAATCACAGAATCCCTACAAGGTGGAAGCAGGCCATTCGGCCATCGAGTTCACATCGATCCTCTGACGAGCATCCCATCCAGACCTACTACCCCTAACCCTATCCCTGTAACCCTGCATTTCCTATGGCCAATCCACCTAATGTGCACATCTTTGTGGACTATGGGATGAAACCAGAACACCCGGAGGAAACCCACACAGACATGGGGAGAACGTTCAAGCTCCACACAGACAGTTGCCCGGGGTGAAATTGAACCTGGAACCCTGGCGCTATGATGCAGCAGTGCTAACCAATAAGCCACCGTGCCACCCCATCTCCATTAAAACCCATTCCTAGATCAAATATTCAATGTTGACTGTTTGACCAAGAAACTGCTCATTGAAAGTCAAACAGTTGTATTTATAAGTCTTGAAAAGCAACACCATGGCAAAGAGCAAACACGACCAAGAAAATAAAAATACTGCAGTAATCTATTGACTTTTTTTAACCATTAAAGTAAATTAGGTTAGGTAATCTATTATAATAATTAGTAGTCAATTAGTCTTAGCTGATTAATCTATCATACAAACTGAACAAAGGCTTATATGTAAAAACTTACAATATACCTCTTAAAGGATCTTGTTTCACAGCAAGCTATAAGGTCTGGGTTCAAGTCCCACCTGCTCCAGAGAGGTGTCATAATAAACATAGAATTTCAACAACAATCTGCATTTATTGAGTGGATTTAAAATGTACTGAACCAAGTCAAAACTCCAGTTTATTTAATTTGCATGCTCATTTGCAATCTGACACTTTCTTCCCACTTGAAACAAGCTTGCTACTGGAAGATCATTAATGTTTTTTTCACCAGTATCCAGTTTAAATGCTCAGTGACAATTGTGGATAAATACAGTTAATGCAAAAATGTTACAAGGTGACAGAGTCAACTTGATTGTCAAGAGAATGTTGATTGCAATTAATCATGTATGTAGTAAATGTAGCTTTGTCTCAAAATTTAAGTATATTGTAGTTATTTTAATTAACTTATTCAGACATAAGAGTCTTACAGCATGGAAACAGACCCTTCAATCCAACTGGTCGGCAGCAACCAGACATCCCAATCTGACCTAGACCCATTTGCCCCTCTAAATGTTTCCTATTCATGTACCTATCCACATGCTTTTTAAATGTTGAATTGTAACCGCCTCCACCACTTCCTCTGGCAGTTTGCTCCATACACGCACCACCCTCTGCATGAAAAGGTTACCCCTCAGGCCCTCTTTAAATCTTTCCCCTCTCATCTATGTCCTCTAGTTTTGGACTCCCATACCTGAGGAAAAAGACCTCGGCTATTCACCCTTTCCATGCTCCTCATGACTTTATAAACCTTTAAAAGGCCACCCTTCAGTCTCCAATGTTCCAGGGGAAACAAGCCCCAGTCTATTCAGCCTCTCCCTATTCAGCTCAAACCCTCCAGTCTCGGCAACATCCTTGTAAATGTTTTAAACATTTAAAAGACATCTGAGTGGTTAACTTAAATGTCTTTCGAGCTTCTTGCTACATTGTAAACAGAACACATTAATGAGTTTGTCTCTGAAATCAATTCCAATAAGCTGCTTTTGCTAACACCTGTGAACATGCGTAATATTCTGAAGATCACATTTGGTAAGTTTGAGAAATGATTTTGGGATTGCACAGTATGACAGCATGCAGAGATAGTAGGAACTGCAGATGCTGGAGAATCTGAGATAACAAGGTGTAGAGCTGGATAAACACAGCAGGCCAAGCAGCATCAGAGGAGCAGGGAGCTGGATAAACACAGCAGGCCAAGCAGCATCAGAGGAGCAGGAAGGCTGACATCAGCTCTACACCTTGTTATCTCAGATTCTCCAGCATCTGCAGTTCCTACTATCTTTGAAACAATTTTAACCCCACTGCAAAGCCTCTTCTAAGGATGCCTACCCTGAAGAAGTTACCCTCCTCCCTCCGGAAAAACCTCAGTGGATCTCTCTCCCCACTGCAACTCTCGTAATCTCTTCGAGCTTGAAAGTGCTCGACCACGTCCTGAAGCAAACCAGGTACTACAGCCACACCATCTTTCTTAGTACCTGCCTACGGAACCAGATCATCCCCAGTGGACTACAGTCCACATTCAGGCTTCCCAATTTGGCCCCAGCCGTGACAATGTCTACATTCAGAACATATCCCACTTCCTACAGACAAAGGGGGTGGCCATGGGTACCCACATGGGCCCAAGCTATGCCTGCCTCTTTGTAGGTTACGTGGAACAATCCCTCTTCCGTACCTACACTAGCCCTAAACCCCACCTCTTCCTCCGTTACATTGATGACTGTATCGGCGCCGCCTCGTGCTCCCACAAGGAGCTCGAACAGTTCATCCACTTCACCAACACCTTCCACCCCAACCTTAAGTTCACCTGGACCATCTCTAATACCTCTCTCTCCTTCCTGGACCCCTCTGTCTCCATCTCCGGCAACCACCTAGAAACCAATATCCATTTCAAGCCCACCGACTCCCACAGCTACCTAGAATACACCTCCTCCCACCCACCTTCCTGCAAAAATGCCATCCCCTATTCCCAATTCCTTCGCCTCCGCCGTATCTGCTCCCGAGATGAGGCATTCCACTCCCGTACATCTCAGATGTCCTCGTTTTTAAAGGACTGCAACTTCCCCCCCGTCAGTGGTCGAGAACGCCCTCCACTGTGTCTCCCGCATTTCCCGCAACTCATCCCTCACACCCCCTACCCGCAATAACAACCAAAACAGAATCCCCCTCATCCTCATGTACCACCCCACCAACCTCCGGATCCAACGCATCATCCTCCGATATTTCCGCCATCTGCAATCCGACCCCACCACCAAAGATATTTTTCCCTCCCCAACCTTATCTGCTTTCCGGAGGGACCACTCTCTCCATGTCCGCTCCACACTCCCCTCCAGCCCCACCTCACCCGGCACTTTTCCCTGCAACCACAGGAAGTGCTACACCTGCCTCTACACCTCCCCCCTCACCCCCATCCCAGGCCCCAAGAAGACTTTCCACATCAAGCAGATGTTCACCTGCACATCTGCTAATGTGGTATACTGCATCCGCTGTTCCCGTTGTGGCCTCCTCTACATCCGGGAAACCAAGCGGAGGCTTGGGGACCGCTTTGCAGAACACCTACGCTTGGTTCGCAATAAACAACCGCACCTCCCAGTTGCGAACCATTTCAACTCCCCCTCCCGTTCCGTCCATCCTGAGCCTCCTGCAGTGCCACAACGATGCCACCCAAAGGTTGCAGGAGCAGCAATTCATATTCTGCTTGGGAACCTGCAGCCCAATGGTATCAATGTGGACTTCACAAGCTTCAAAATCTCCCCTCCCCCTACCGCATCCCAAAACCAGCCCAGCTCGTCCCCGCCTCCCTAACCTGTCCTTCTTCCCACCTATCCCCTCCTCCCACCTCAAGCACCACCCCCCCCACCAACCTACTAACCTCATCCCGCCCCCTTGACCTGTCCGTCCTCTCCAGACTGATCTATCCCCTCCCTACCTCCCCACCTACACTCACCTTTACTGGCTCCATCCCCGCCTCTTTGACCTGTCCGTCTCTTCTCCACCTATCTTCTCCTCTATCCATCTTCTATCCGCCTCCCCCTCTCTCCCTATTTATTTCAGAACCCCCTTCCCCTCCCCCATTTCTGAAGAAGGGTCTAGGCCCGAAACGTCAGCCCTCCTGCTCCTCTGATGCTGTTTGGCCTGCTGTGTTCATCCAGCTCTACACCTTGTTATGACAGCATGCAGTAGTTGTTTTACTTTCACGGGATCATGGTGTGATGTATGTAGTTGGGAGGTTAGCCCTTTAAGAGAGCTGGTCAGGTGATTTGCAAGGCATGGAGCCAGGAAAGTATGAGCAAATAACTTGTTCCTTTCAGAGTTTTACCTGTGCCTCCCTTGTGTATAATTCCTGATTCCCAGCGAATTACAAACTTAACACATGGTCTAACTTTTCAGGGCACCTGTCCACTAAGGCCACATGCCACTGGAGAAAAAAATCTTCATTAATATTGTGTGGAACTTAACACTTTAACTATGTTGGTGGCCTCGAGTGCCAAAATGTTTTATAGGCGCATCGGTACTCAGCACTGGCATTCCCACTGGACTGACAAAGTGCGCCAAGGCATCAGAAATTGCAAATTTGTACACTTCCAAAATGTTTTCTTTTCCAAAGGGAATAATGCAGGCAGTAACATCAGCCAGGAGTTAAATGAGGAGAAGTTCTTTGCATTTGGCTGGCTTTTCCTTAGTAAATATTCTGCCTTTGATCAATCACTAAAAAGTAGTTTTGTATCTAATTTACACCATCCATATATTTGGAAGAAAAGATATTGTGGTAAGTTTGCCACTTTTGCATATATATTATGCAGAAAATAACATAGGTGTACTTTAAAGGTACAAGAGTTTTTAATATCTCATTGT